TATATCATTTTTTTTTTTATTTATTATATGATATATATATATATATATATATATACATGTGTACGTGTGTATTTCTTTGTATTTTTGTTGTTAGTAAGTGTGTCCTTTTATATATTTGTCCTATGTACTTTCGTTTATATAACTTTAAAAAAAAAAAACAAGTCTCTACGATTCACCAGATATGTTTAAATAATATTGGAAATGGAAGAAGTATCTGGCTCGTTGCCGGAAATCTTTTTCTCCATCTTAAGAAATTCAAACTCTCAGCTACCTACTAACTCTCTCTCTCTCTCTTTCTCTCTCTCTACTCTCTTGGAATTTACTTTCCTTTACTTCGTTTTCGTTTCAAGATAAGAAACATTCGTTTGAGATGAAATGAGAAAAGAAATTTTTCAAGAAGATTTATATATATATAAGAAAAGATTGTCGCAAAATGAAATGAAATGAATCGTTCGAAATTCGTTGAATTCGTTTTAAAGTAAAAAAAAAAAAATTATTGAACTTTGTAAACCTTTCGGTAAAAAAAGTTTTTATTTTTTTACTTTTTTTTTTAATAAAAAGAACAAAGTTAGTTTCAATTGAACAAGGAAAGTTAATAATTGAAATATTCATTTAAATAATACTTGCAAATATTTAATGCATGATGATCATTTTATTATCGCGTGACCACGTGGATTTGGTGTTCATGTTTTTTTTTTTTTTTTTTCAACGTTTATGTTTTTCCCATTCAGTTAATTAACGTCAATCATTAAAATTCATTAGAACGATTAAATGGAAAATGTAATTTGAAATAATACGTGACACCACATATTAATGAGAAAGGAAAAATATTTCATGAAAATTATTATTATTATTTATTAATTAATTAATGAATCGTTATTTTATTATTTAAACCGAGCATCCGACACAAAATTGCACGATATTAAATATTCTTTATGGTAATAAACGACTCTTGGGAGGATTAAAGTCAACTATCAAGAATTTGTTATGGTATTAAATATTAAATCTAATCTGTTATTCTGTTAACAGAAAGTAAATTATTATTAATAATAATTTAGAATAATTTTTCTTTCTTATTCTAGTTTTCAATTGTATAAATGTTACATTAGGATAATGCAATTTTCATTTAGTTATTATTATTATTATTTATTATAATAATATTATATTAATATATAAATTATATTTATTATTTTTATTATTTTTATTTATTTTTTTTTTTAAATTGAGACGAATAATATATCGATTAATATAAATATAAAAAATAATAAATATTAAATAATATTAAAATGTATAATATTAATAATATATTAAAAATAATAATATAAAAAATAATATAATATAAAAGTAATAAATAAAAATAATATAATAAATGTTAAATCATATTAAAATAAAATATTAATATTAGATTAAAAATAATACTATAAAAAATAAATAAAATAAAAATAATATAATAAAAAATTTGCATTATCGTGAAAATGATGAATCAATCGATCATTTCGTAATTATGTTTTTCATTAAACATCAAAAATTTGGTACACTGGTTACTGAATAACTAATGTAACCTACAAACTATTATTATTAATAAAAAAAAAAAAAATTCGAACAAAAATTTACGTAGTGGATTAAACTTGTCCTTGTACCTGGCATCTAATTTTCACTTTTTTTGTTCAATGTTAATAACGATATTTGCATGGAAAATGAGAAAAACTATTCCGTTGCGTGTTACTTCTTCTCCCTCATCCATTTACACTTTTTTTTTTTTTTTAATATTTTTTTTTTTCTTTTTTTATGTTATCCTTGCTTCCTTTTTTCTCTTTCTCTCTTATTCTTCCTTTCTTTCTTTCTTTCTTTCTTTCTTTCTTTCAATTCGTTTCGGTTGAAAATTTCATACTCATGCAAAAGGTACTTTTATATTCGATGTTTTTAAAATATATATTTTTTTATAGTCTGTACAAAATAAAAAAATAAAAAGTAAATGAATGTTCTTAATGTTCTTGATTTTGTGATTTCATTAAAGTTTATTTTAAATTTCCCGCCAACTAAAAATAATATTATTTTGATAAATCTTATTTAAATATCAACATACGTTCACGTTATGTTATTCAATCATTTGTATTTCAATTTGACGAAGAATAATTATGAAAAATATTGTAAGAAAATGTATTATTTAAGATTAGAAGAATATAAATGGAAAATTTTACGTTAACAAAAAGAATTATTTATAATAATAATAATAAAAAAAAATTGCTTACGTATTAAACGTATTCAATTCTGTTTTATAGAAAAATAAAAAGGAATATCTAGAACTATGTAATTCCAAGTAGAAATTCTAGAATAGGATGATGATGATGATGATGATTATGATGAACAGATGAAAATGGAAGTGAAAATGTTGGCATCATATATTTCTCGTTACCAACAGAAATTCAACTAGGTTCTTACAAAGAAGAACTTTCACCGACATGTGTTTTACCTAATTCTACGAATCGATTTTCAAATGGTCGACTAATTATTCAAGCTTTTGCTTATACGAATAATCAACTCAATGAAAATTCTATTGTCCCACTAATTAACATTTATTCATTTTTAAAAAATAAGTAAAAGAAGTATTATCATTTAATTAATTTTTTGTATTTTCTGTATTCCTAATTGCAAAAAAAAAAATAAATCATAAAAAATATACTCTCGTTATAAATTAAAGTAAAAAAATAAAATAAAATTGAAAGTACTCACCGTGAGTATCAAACTTCCTAATGATGGTCTCGATGATCGTTGTCCTGGGCGCCACGTGACCTCGTCTAACAGGCATCTCAGGATGAATTCCCAGTTATCCTGGGTGGACGAAAACGTTCGGCGTTTTTTTTGTTTCTCTTCTTCTTCTTCTTCTTCTTCTTCTTCTTCTTCTTCTTCTTCTTCTTTGTTTTTCTTGAGACTAATCAGGCCTCTTCGTTCACGATAATTAAATAAACTATCGTCGAACTAGGAACGTAACAATAACTGCGTGCACGCGTGATGAAGTGAAAACACTATGAACACTAAACAAAAATAAAAACAAAATTGGCCAGAAACAACAACAAAAAAACATTCAGCAGCACACTCACGAACGAGAGACAAGGGGAAGAAGAAGAAGAAAAAGATTCTCCCCTTTTTGAGGAAACTTTGATGATAAAAAGTAAAACGAATTGAAATCAAGTCGATTAAGTTTTAAATCGAACTTCTCTTTAATTCTATAATTAAAAGAAATGAAATAATATAAGCAAGATGATAGGGTAAAGAAAAATAATAAAAAGAAAAAGACACACAAAAAAAAAAAGGATGAAATTTCACATAAAAATAATTTGTTTCTTTCTATCAGGAATGAAATCGTTCTCTTCTTTGTAACACTCGCTTACTTTCTCAAGACTCCTCGATATCAACTTCGACCCAACAACTTCGATCGGATTAGCTTCCACTATTTCTGTTATTTAGATATACCAAAGGTCGCACACACTACCTTCTTCTTGCTGCTTACTAAAACGTCTTTCCTGACTTATGATCCTTCCTTCAAAACAAGGACACTCTCTCGGACAAGGTCGCGTTCTCGTCTGTTGGTTGGTTGGTTGATTGGTTGATTCAACGTGCGTTTATAATATTTTGTCAGTGAGAAAACAACATATTTTATATTTATAATTTAAACCCACCACCACTCCTCCTGTTAGTTTGTTTTGAAATTTCACGAATATTTCGACGGAAGGTATTATTCTTTTTCTGGATTATTATTGACGATGATAATAATAATTAGATAAGAATTTTTTTCTTCTTTTCTATTCGATTCCCACTTCACGCGTGACACACGCAATCTTTTTTGGAATTATCTTCATGATTCGAATATTGAAAGTACGATCATTTTTTTTTCTGCTTTTTCGATACTTAACAGATAAACATCAAAACGCAGTCGTCTCGAGGAATACCTCTCGTACGACTATGAAAATATTCAAAATGATAATCTTTTTCTTTTCGATTATTCGTGAAAAATAATACGAGAGGATGATACCTCTTGGTGATAATCAACTTCGTCGGCTTGACCTTAGTCTTTTGCCGATACGAAGACACACGTTTTAATAGTTTCGAAATAGAAACGCATCGTTCGGACATTTCCACGATATTCGGACTAAGCTTTTTTTACACGGAACACGTTTATTTGTCAAACTGTTCTTTCTTTTTTTTATTGTTTCTTGTTTAAATCTTTTTTCTTTTTTTTTTTTTAACTATTTTAGCAATATCGTTTGTTTGTTCGTTTGTTGATTAATTCTTATTAGATAATGTTGAAAGTAGTATTCTTCTGTTCTTTTAGTCATTCTAATATATATAGAGAAAAAATCCAAAGGATATATAGATTCAAATGATTTTTCTTAGTAAGAAAAAGGGAGGGTAACGACTCGATGGTCCAGGTTAACGTCCACGATTACGACGAGAAAGGCACGTGGTGATTGGTTGGATGCGCGCGAGTCTCTCTATACGTATGTCCTATATATGTGTATCTTGTTGTTGTAGTAATATTTGCATTTGTAGATGTTTTAATTGTATTATTATAATATGTCAGGCGCGATATTATAAAAGCAAGATCGATAGATGATGATCGAAATACGAGAATATAATATCGGTAAGACGAAAAGGAACTGTCCCGTTTCACGGGGTGATCCGGTCAGCTGTGCATTTCTGCTCATCCTCTCTCAGGGACAGTTATTTTTATACTTCTTCTTCATCCTCTGTGGCACTCGGTACGCCACGAACACGTCCGACCACCGGCGATGCCACGATTCTCCAACTCGTTGATGATTCTTTTCGAAATCCACATCGGTTCTAACCCCGTACTCCGGGTTCCTCGACACGCACTTGCGACAACACCGGCCACAACCCTTTCTCTTTCTTCTCACTTAACTAACAACAGCTATCTAATTCCATCATATATTCTCTTTCTTTCGCATCTCTCCTTCTCTCTCTTCGTATTTATTCTTTTTATTTATTGAATCCACCTTTCTCCACACCACATTTGTTTAAACACCTTATCTCTCTTTCTCTCTCACCTAACTAAGCTCGTTCTAACTCTAAACTTCTCTGTTTTCTCTCTGTCGCTCCTCCCCCTTTGAAAGCACGAAGCACCACACCTCGTCAACCCGGACAACTACTAAAAACCAGCAAAAAGTGCAATCCTTCTTTCTCCGTCTCTCTTATCTCCTTTGTCCAGCTTATTCTTATTCTTCTGTTCTTTGATTCATTGCTTATATTATAATCTCGGACTCGATTAAGAAACGACAAAACTATCTCTAAGAACAAACGATGCTTCCTCGGGAAAGGTCGTTGGACACTGTTGCGCTACCGCGTGCTCTCTCTTTCCCACTCCTCCGGTCGACCTGAAAAACCTCACGTCACTTCGGCAATGCCGAAGGAGTCGACGCAAGAGGAACTTTTGTCCTAGAGCACGCGCGTTTTTTTTTTGTTTTTCCTTTCCTTTCCTTTCCTTTCCTTTCCGTTCCCCAGGATTTGCGTTAGACCAGTTGCCGGCGCGTTAGGTCGGAACTGAAAATACGACGATAAGATGAGGCGCGGCGACAGGCCGACGTCTTTCTCGACGACGACGACGACGAC